TCAAAATTAACATTTTGGACCTGAAACGTTAACTGATTTTTTTTTTTCCTTCACAGATGCTGCCAGACCTGCTGAGCTTCTCCAGCAACTTCAGTTTTTGTTCCTGATATAAAGCATCCACATTTTTTTAAGTTTTTATTTCGTATTTAACTCACTGCCACATCTTCAAGGTGGGCATACCTAGAAGAGAAGTTCTGCTTCTTTCTCTGACGGGATTTCCTTTCTAATCTTTCTTGTCCACGGGACCCAAAACATTAACTCTGATCTTTTCTTTACAGATGCTGCCAGACCTGCTGAGCTTTTCCAGCAACTTCTGTTTTTGTAAGTGATATTTTGAAGTTGTAAAGTATGGCACTTGGGTGTTGGTGGACACCTGGGTGATCCACAGCAACTGTATCTGTAGTTAAGTGTCTGTAATTTGAAGAACTTCAACTCAGTTGATGAGCTGGAACTTGACCTTCACCTTCAGATGTATTGATGCATCAGGGAGGGGGAAGAATTAGTCAGACATTTTGTAACAACAGGCGGCACTGTCTCACTAAAGTTGAATCATTTATAGGGACAGGATAGTGTGACGAGAGTGAGGAAGGTATAGAGATCGAGATGGTAACGCTGGAGTAGTCTTAGCCCTTGCCAACTGGTACAAGGTTCTTGCAAATTGTGCAAACAAGAGCAGAGACTGCACGATTGATGAGCACACTAACCATAGCACCATGATGTAAGGAGCCATTCAATTGGGTAGAGGTAAAAATAAATGTAGTTGTTGTGGAGGACAATGTAGTTAAGCAATGAATATGTTTTATTGTGGCCAAAAATGATTGTCCCAGAAGTTGTGTTGCTTGCCCAGTATGAGATCTAAGGCCATCTCCTCAAGGCTGGACAGTAACATGGATATGAGTAGGACTCCTAAGCTAGAGCTTGTTCACTCCGACCTTTTCTTTTTGTGTTCTTTTTCTTTCTTACCTCCTGTCTTCGGGTGGCATCTCCGGGGTGAAGCCAGTGTAGAGATATTTCATAACTAATAAAGATGTACTTCAGTGAGGAAGAAAGACACTATGAGAATGATATGCCATTCGTGGCTGACTAAGGAAATTAAGCATGAGATCAGTTGAATGAGAAGGTATGCAGTGCTACATAGATTGGGGAAACTTTTAGAAGTCAGCAAAGGATGACTTTAAAAAACCGAGGGAGAAATTTGACTATAAAGTAAACTATCAAGAAAAATAAAAACCAAAAAGTAAAAGCTTCTGCAAGTTTATCAAAAAAGAAATAGCAGCTAAAGTGAAGATTGGTCCATTAGAGGGTAAGACTAGGGAATTAATGATGGGAAATGAGGAAAGGATGGTGGTTTCATTGCAGAAGACATAAAAACAGCCCGAGAATAGTAGAATATCATGGGGAGAAGGGTGTAACTTAAAACAATTACTACTAGCAAAAAAGTAATAGGAAAATTTTCCACTGGACCTGATGGGTTGCTTCCTAGAGTCTTAAAAGAAATGGCTGCAGGAATAGTAGATTCATCAGTTGTGATCTTCCAAAACGTCAAGATTCTGGAAAAGTCTGAGTGGATCGTAAAACTGCAAATGTTATACCTTTCTTCAATTAACACATGACTCAGAAAACAGGAAACTATTGACCAGTTAACCTAATGTCTGTTATTTTGGAAAATACTATAATCCATTACAAAAGAGAAAGTAGCAGGTCATTTAGAAAATCATAATACATTTAGGCAGGGCCAACATTTTATTTTTGAAAAGGAAATTGTGCTTCATAAATCTATTGGAATTCTTTGAGAATGCAACAAGTTGGGTAGGTAAAAGGCTACCAATAAAGTGACACATGGAAGGTTACTAAATGAGAGTGTGTGGTATTGGGATTAAAATATTGACATGGATAAAGAACTGGCTAACTAACAGGAAACTCAGATCTGATATATGGACATTTTCAGGTTGTCAAAACTAACTGGTGGAATGTCACAGGGATCGGTACTGGGGCCTCAATTGTGTGTGATTTTTATTAATGATTTGGGTGAAGGTTTAACTTTATTGGAGCCAAGTTTACTGATAATGCAAAGGTTTATAGTAAAGCAAGTTGTAAGGAGGATACAAAGTCTGGAAAGGATATGGGTCGATATAAAATTGACAGATGAGGTATAATGTGGGGAAGTAAGTGTCTGTCTGTCTGTCTGCTTTTGTAAGAAGAATGAATGAGCAGTTCATTATTTAAATGTAGAGAGGCTGCATATTGCTGCATGACAGGGATTCTGAGTTCCTTGTGAGCTGACTTGTGATTCAAGTACAAGAACAGCAAGTGATTAGGAAGGTGAGCAGAATGTTGGCCTTTATTGCAAGGGGGATGGAATATAAAATGAAGGAAATCTTGCTACTACTGTAGTGGGCATCAGTGAGAATACACCTGGAGTACTGCATACAATGTTGATCCCTTAGGGAGGGACATACTTGCACTGGAAGCAGTTATGAGGATCACTTGGATGATTGCTGGGATGAGGGTTTTTTTCCTTTTGAGAAAAGATTGAGTTTGTATTGATTGAAGTTTAGAAATATGGAAGGTGATCTCATTGAAACACACAAGCTTCTGATGGAACAAGGCTAGGTAGATGCTGAGAGGATGTTTCCTTGCAGGAATCTGAACGAGGGGTACATTTCAAATAAGAGATCTCCCATTTAAGATCTGGATGAGAAGTGGGTTTTTTTTAGTGTCATTAGTATTTAGAACTCTCCTTCCCACCAAGCAGTGGAAGTTTGGTCATTGTCAACTCAGCCTAGGAAATACTCAGCAGAGGTTTTGTGGTACAGTGAATAAGTATCCCTGATTCTGAGCCTGAAGGAGAAAAGATGCAATCGTAATGTGGCCAAGCAGCTTTGAGTATTAACCTGCAAATTCCTACTGATAGGAGAGATTCCTCATCAGGCATGAGATGGAAAGAAATCAGAGCTTCAACCACCATTATTGATAGCTCCACAGTGCAACATTCATGTAAAATTTGATGTTACCACATCAAATTGGTCAGGTACCTAATATTGAAAGAGGTAGCCTGAGGTATATAGGACAAGATAGATGGATTGGGCAGATCAGAGACAGATGGAATTTAACCCTGAAAAGTGTGAGGTGATGCACTTTGGAAGAAGTAACAAGGCAAAGTATTACTCAATGAATAGCAGGACATTAGGAAGCTCAGAAGAGAGATCTTGGGGTACTTGTTCACAGATCCCTGAAGGGGGCAAGTCACTTGCCTTTATCAATCATGGCATAAATTATAAGAGCAGGGAGGTTATGTTGGAGCTGTACAGAACTTTTCTTAGGCCACAGCTCGAGTACTGCATTTAGTTCTGGTTGTCCCACTATAGGAGGATATGATTGCACTGGAGGGGTGCAACAGAGGTAATTCACCAAGATGTTGCCGGGGGTTAAGAGAGATTACATAGCCTTAGATTGCTTGCTTTAGAGCAGAGAAAGCTGAGGAGAGACTTGATTGAGATGTATAAGATTGAGGGCACGAACAGGGTCTATAGGAAGCATCTGTTCCCTAGTTCTAGTAGGTGGTTTAGAAGGAATTTGAGGAAATGTTTTTCATCAGAGGGTGGTTGGAATTTGGAAAGCACTGTCTGGGAAGACAGTAGAATTCGAAACCTGGCAGCCTTTTAAAACGTACTTGGATTAGCACTTGAAATATCATACCATATTGTATAGATAGACCATCACAGACTTTGAAGGGCCTCTTCTGTGCTGTGTGACTCTGACTGCAGTTGTACTCCTTGGCAGTGCCAGTTGATTCAGTTAATAGTGTGGCTGCTGTGGATCACATCCACATCCTGTGCAAGTTGGAGTGAATTCGGGACTTGCCTCTTTGTCCTGCCAATAGTGTAATTCACAACACTGGGTCAGGCCTGCTTTCCAGCAGAGAAGTCAAGGAGGAGAAGAATGAGACATGTTTTTGATTGACGAAATTCAAAAGTTACAGGAAAGAAATCTGGAGTCAAGGCCACAATTAGATCAGCTGTAACCTTAATGAATGACAGAACATGGTTCACAGACCAATGGCCTTCTATTCCTAATGTTTTGAACCAGGATTACAGTTGTTTTGCTCGAACAGAGGATTCATGAACTAAAAAACTAACTGGCAATACACTGCACTACATGTTGCAAGAAAGACCAGTGAAATGTATTGCACAGGTAGTCACTTAGGGCGACGATGAAGATTTGGGACTATAGTAAAGAGGTAGAAGGTGACCGTTCACAGGCGAGGAAACTCCATAGGTCTACAGGTGAGGACCTGTGATAAACACTTAGCACTATCTAGAACAGTGGGCAAAGTAAGTACTCTGGCAGGCTAACCGGATTAGACTAGTTAGACTAATTGGATCTGATTGGAATTGCATCTTGTTCTTCTCCCAAGAAAGAAGCTAGCTGTGTGTTGAGTCTGTAATAAGTGATTGAGTCTTTTCTACTCTTAAGTTTTAACATGGTATATAGGTTGGTGGTAAAGTCAATAAAATGTGCAGAAAGCAACATACAATAATCAATATCATTAATAAATTGTTGCATTCAAAACAGCAGGACAGGTGACGTGTCAAGGCTGAAGCATGTGGGAATTCCTGGATACCAGTATGGATGACCTCCACAGTAAATGTTTGAAGTTCGAGTAGCTTCAGCTCAGTGTTTAAGTTCAAAGCTGAACTACAGGCATTGGGATGCATTAGGAATGGGGAGGGTTATTTAGATTCTTAGTTTTAGGAAGCAATCAGACCACTTAGGATGGCGTCTTCTGATGTGGTGAGGAACCTAGAGAGCAGCAGTGCAGCCTCTGCAAATGTGCAGTGGCTTTGAGCAGATTGTTTGGATGAGAATAAGTGCTGTAAGATGGACGAGCATGACATGGTAGAGGAAACCATTCAAGTCAGGGAAGCAACCAGGAATGTGGTAGAAGATAATATAATGAGGGGGAATGACATCCTCCTCTGCAGCAAAGAGTGGGTGTCCAAATGGTTGGGTTTCCTTCTCGGTGCCAAGATTCAGGACATCTGCTCAAGGCTGAAAAAGAACTAGTAATGTGAAGGTGAGGAGCCAGTGGTTGTGGTCCATGTCAGTACCAATGACGTAGAACTAGGAAAGAGATTCTGCATAAAGAGCTAAGCTAAATTAAAATTCAGAACCTCACAGGTATAATATCTGGATTATTACCTGAGCCATATGTAAATTGGTGTAGGGTACTCAAAATTTAGAGAGATGGATACATAGTTCAAAGACTAGCATTGGAATTTTGCGTTGCAGGTTTGTGGGACACTGGCACTAGTACTGGAGAAAGTGGCAGTTGTACCATTGGGAAAGTCTACACCTGAACCATACTGGGAAGTGTTCTTGCAAACCTCAAAACTAGAAAAGTATAGAAGATTTTAAACTAATTGGTGAAGGCAAGAAATCAAATGAGGAAATATATACTGTACCAAAGAGTAGAGAGAAGGTAACAGATGAAAATAGTAATATGGGAAATGAGGGTCAGGTAGTGACAAGAAGGGACAGTGTAGAAGCAAAATTGTGAATACACCAACAGTCAAGACTAGATGTTACAAAGATAACAAAAAGACACAACCACTGGCTCTGTATCTGAATACATTGTGACATTAATCATAAAGTAATAAATTGATAGCACACATTGAAGTAAACAAATATCTAATATCTATTACAGATATGTAGCAACAGGATGACCAGGATTAGGTCCTGAATGTTGAGGGATGTATCATTTAAAAAGAATAGGAAGCTAGATAAAGGTGGAGGAGTGGTATTATTAGTCAAGGATGGCATTTGTGCAATAGTTAGAGGTATCTTTGGCTCAAAGTCAAGACATAGAATTTGTTCAAATGGAGATTAATAGTAGGGGAAAGAAGTTGCTAGTCAGAGTAGACATAGTGGACAACAGGTAACCACAGTATACAAGAAATAATATTGGGTGGTTGTGATAACGGGATGACAATTACCAGGGTGACTTTAATCTACATGTTAGATGAAGAAAAAACAGCAATACTAGTTTGGATGAGGAATTCATGGAATGCTTTTGAGATCGTTTCTGAGAGCAGCACATTCTAGGACTGACCAGAGAGCAGGTTATGGTAGACTTAGTATTGTCTGATGAGAGCAGATTAATGAGCTTGAGGTAAAGGCATCCCTTGATAGCAGAGATAAGATGATCGAATTTTCCATCCAGTTTGCAAGGGAGAAGATTAGGTTTAAGGGTTGTATTTTAAAATTAAATAAGGACAACAATGTGGGCATGAGGAGTGAACCAGCTGAAGTGAATCTACATACCAGGCTAGGTCAATAGAGATGCAGTGGTAGACCTATAAGAGGATATTTCAAATTTTTCAAATTTTATTTTTAAAATCATTCAGTATTCTGAATAACTATAAACTTCAGCCCTCTGTTAAGAATGCAATTAAAAAGATAAGCCTCTCCATTTACAAGTATGAGTTGGTTGGTCCTGCTTAATTCTAAGTGCTTTATGCCTTTCCTTTTTAAATGCATCTGGACATGTTCACCACTTCAAGCAATAGTAATTAATAAAGATGGTTGCCTCGTTTTGTTTTGACAACAATGTAGATATTAATACGACATTCTTGTGACAAACTGTTTGCTTATTTACTACAATACCGCAACGTAAGTTTGAGATTTACTTAGTTGTGAACAGTATGGCCATTGAAATCATTTTTCATTCACTGTTCGATACTAGGTGACTTAGTAGGTCATTTTCTGTGGTACAGGTGTTACTGCATTTCTTTTCCTTAGTCAATTTGTAATATTTGGTTTGTAGGTTTGCATGCTGTGTTCAGTGGGCTATCACCTGTTCTGCTGCCATCGCTCTGAGAAAGCAAATCGGCGCTGGATGGCCCTTGATTATGCTGGTATTGCCATTGGGATTTTGGGCTGCTATGTCCCTGCAGTATTCTATGCCTTTTACTGCAATGAAGTAAGTTTTTCTGCTCTGTCTGCATAAATGTTTTGAGTTGGCTTCACACTGATGAACAGTAATGTGACATTTCTCTTTAATAACTGAATAATTAAGCCCTGATTGAGATTTGTGCTGTATCCGACCACAAGTCAACAAAACAGCCGTTGCATTAAGAAATGTAAGAAATATATTGCTTATTTATAGAAGCTCTCTCTCATGTTTTATAATTGGGGAAGAGAAAACATCAATGGCATGCTAAGCTGCAATCAGTAATTGTTTTTTGCTGTTTTAAGACCCTGAGAAACAAAGTATTATTTTCAGGACACCCTTCAAAGTCCATTCCTTAAGTACTGACTTGATCCCTTTTCCTGGTAACAGTTTCAGATTAAATCAGTATGTTCACAACTTTATCACTTTGATCCAATTGAATTTCCCATGACTAAGCCTGTCACCTCTGTGAATGTGCTTCTGTCTCAGCCTCTCCAAAACAGCTGAAACTTATTACCTTAACAAGTAACCTTGTTACTTCTAGGCTCAACAGCTCAAATACACTCCTGGCTGATCTCATACATTCTACCTTCCATAAATTTGATCATCCCATTTCTGATATCATCCTGTTTCCCTAAACTCGACTGTTTTCTGGGCAAGCAATATCTTGTTCTTAGAATTCTCATTTGAGTTTTCCAATCCGTCTATATCCTTGTAATTTCCTTCAGTCTCTCAGACCCTTTCAGATACTGGCACTCCTCATTTATAGCCATGCGTTCAGTTGCTTAAGCACCAGCTCTACTTTGATTTCCTCCATGGCACTAAAATATCCCTCTGACCAAATTTTTATTCCTTTTAATCCCTCCTTATGTGGCTTGGTGTCATATTTGTTTTGTAATGCTCCCACAACGTGTTTAATACATTAAAGGTGCTCTAAGGTTTTGCTTTAAATGCAGATAATCCTAAATCTGATCATTGTATTTTTCTGTCTGGTTACTTAACTGAATAAATAAAGCCACTAGAAATCACAACTTTCATAAATATGCTATCGTCAGTTACTTAAGAGTGTCATATTAATTGGGATGTTAAAGTGATATTTCTAACACTGATCCCTAAAATTTTAATAGTTAAGTAATTTGACTCTTAAATTTGTTTTGTGCTTAGTATTGGCGACAGGTGTACTTAATAATGGTGCTGGCTATGATACTGGCAGTATTCTTTGCACAAATACATCCGTATTACCTCACACAGCAGTGGTACAGCCTGCGTGCACTCATCTTTTGCTGTGTCTCTGTGTATGGGTTTATCCCAACAATACACTGGATCTGGCAGAATGGAGGGATGAACACACCAATTGTTCAGGTGAGTGAGACAATGAATTTAACATGTATAACTGGTTTGAGGCAAACAAGAAATGAGTCAGTTAAAGCATTAATTCAAGTGGTTAAGTAAATAGTCCATTCTTTCCAATAACATAATGCCTAAAGTACATTAACAATTTTTATCAAACTTAGCAACATACTGATGCACAGTTTAGTCTATGGAAGGGTTGAATCTGATCTTGAATATAGAAATTCAGAATAAATCAGTTTAGCTCTAGGTAATTTTTTATTTGGTAGTTAGTAACAGGACCTTTAAGTAGGTGGTACATTTCTATGCTTATGACCTAACAAGCCTCAGCTGAATAGAATATTTTCAAAGACAAAATTCCCTTTAAAGATTCTAGATGTGACTGTACCAGCAATAGAGAAACAAACTCTTCACATCCTTCCTACAATGCCCAGAATTGGGGATACCATGCCAGTTGCAGCCTAAACAGAATTTTATGAAGATTCATCATAACTTCCTTACTTTTGTAGTCTATGCCTCTGGTGGCCAGGATCTGTCTGTCTTAACCTGCCCTGCCACCTTCAATGATTAGTGCGTACGTACCCCCAGGCATCTCTTCAGTATTATTTAGCAATAGAATTTTGCAGGATAAAGGCATACTGACTTAACATTTAACAACTAAGCAGGATAGGTAATGAACAAGCACACATTTAATTAGATAGAATGTATGACTTGGTACAGATGGCTGAAGGAAATTACTGAAGTAGCTTGGCAAGGGACTGGGGATTAAAAATTGAGAATGATAATCTTAATTCAGAAAAAGGTGGGGAGATGAGGGTATGAACTGGCATTCTGAATGAGTTTTTTATTTGAAAGGGAGAAGATTGATAAATGGAGAATTTTATCCAAAGTGATAAAGGTACGGTGGGTTCTGCTATAACATGATAGTTGCGTTCCAGCTCAACATTGTGTTATAGAAAATTGTGCTGTAGAAATAACTGGGCCTATGGGAAAAGCAGAGTTAGGGGCAGACCACCAAAAAAGCATAAGACAAAGGATAGCATTACTGTTAGCTGTTCAGACAGGTTGGTCCGACTGTGACAGCACGTCCGCAGCTCCTTCTCGCATTGACGCAACTGTTATTTCCAAAAAGTGTAGGACAGTTACACAGATGTCCTGGTCAATACTTATTCCTTAGTTAGCAACACAATGACAGATTGTCTGGTCATTGTTGCTTGTGGGAGAATGTTGTGTGAAAATTAGCTGTTGTATTTTTTACAATGACTGCACTTCAAAAATACTTCAGTGTCTGTCAACCTCTTTGTAACATCCTGAGGTTGTGAAAGGTGTAAGTCTCCGTAAGCAAGAAAATCTAGGTTCAAGTTCTGCCTTAGAACTCAGTGGCCAGGGAAGGTACGTTCACAGTGTGATTAAAAAGATTCAGTATCAATTGGCAAAATCTTCCAACACCGCACGTAACAGGCTGTAAGATTGGGAGAGATTTCTGGTTAGCCATGTGACTAAAAGAACATTGCAGACTCTACCACTACTATCCATAGTTCCAGACTGCGACATATACATGTGTATGTTGCCACAGCAACTCAGACGCCTTCAGGAATCTTATCACCGCACCACAAGGGTATCGAGGGGTATGGAGCAAAGGTGGGAAGATCAAATTGAAACACAAGTGAACCATGATCTGACTAACTACTTAAATAGGCTGCTGGAGCCTCCTGTTGTACTCAGGTCCTGTGCCTCTGTGTTTCCTTTCAAGGAAAGTTAGATATACTGTTTTTCACTCTCCCCTTCACCCTGGTTTTCTTGATAAACAGACCTGCTGGCTTCTTACTTTTCAGTTTTAATGAAGGCTGACAGAGAGAATTTCTCTGGGACTCTCAGCATTGTACAAGTACACTGTAGGTATCATTAGCAAAAGGGCTCCTGACAGCAAGATGCCTACCCTATGGAATTGCATTATAGCCACCACAAATTTGCATTTTAGAAATAGTGTTTCCCTATGCATCAGTCACGTTATAGTCAATTCATGTTGTTGGAACACACATTGTAGCAGAACCCCCCGTATGAGATCAGAGATAGCAAGAACTGCAGATGCTGGAAGAACACACCAGGCCAGGCAGCATCAGAGGAGCAGGAAAGTTGACGTTTTGGGTCGGGACCCTTCCGAAATGGGGTCCAGGAGGATGAGGTATATTGGAGGTTGGAGATGGGAGAAGGGGTCTGTAACAGTGAGTCTAACCCACCCTCTAAAGAAATAAGCGTGGACACGGCAGAAAAAGTGTTCAACGTCCAAACGCGAACAGAATTCACTGGTGTGTGGGTGCAGGGGAATGAAGGTGAGACCTTCCCTGAGGACTAACTGTTCGTCCTCCAAGGGGGAGTGGGAGGTGGTCTGGGGGGAATGGTGAATACCCAGCAGGGCTTGGGGCTGGGGCTAGATGAAGAGCTGGTAGCAGAGTTGGTGTTGGGTGTGAAGGTGGAGTTAGTGATATTGTCGGCATCGGCAGTGTCCCCCTTGATGTCGGCGGCGGGAGCAGCAGCAGCCTGGGTGTCAGCAATGGAAGCAGCAGCAGTGGAAGTAACGTGAACAGAGTCGGCAAAAATGACGAGGCCGTGGTGACCACATGGGTAATGGCGCCAGGTACATTGAGGGGAGGTCTTCGGTAGGCTTGAGGACTTGGGGGATGGAAGAGGCCTATGTTTGGTAGTAAGTTTAGTGTCCTTACGGTTTTTAATGTCAGATAGGGTGGAGAAAAAGCAATGGTTGAGGTTGTGGATCCTCTGTAGAATGGAAAAAAAGAAGAGGGCCTTTGCAGGTCTGGGAGAGGGATGTTCTGAGCTAGGGTAAGGTTGATTGTTGTGCCAGAAGATGCCGCCACATTGCTGAGAGTGTGTACTTAAGGATCCGTAGAAAAGACTGTTTTTGGAGGCCCTGGATGTTTTGTAGGTAGAGGTTGTCGAGGTTAAGGCCAAATTGCGATGGCCTGAATGTAGTTGGGTATCCATTGGGGATGATCCGGTTCTGTAGGCAGGTACTGAGAAAAGGCAATGTGGCTGCAGTACTGGGTTTGCTTGAGTATCTGGTCAGAGTTTCAGGGCTGAAGAGATTACCAGAGGGTTGCAGTGGGAGAGAGATCCACTGATGTCTTTCCGGAGGGAGGGGGACAACTTCAAGTGGGCATCCTTGGAAGAGGATGCCCACCTGGAGTTATAACTCACTCGGATAGCAAGAACTGCAGCTGCTGGGGTCAGAAATAACACAGCAGCCAGGCAGCATCAGAGGAGCAGCAAAGTTGATGTTTCGAATCGGAACCCTTCTTCAGAATGAAGAAATTTCTGAAGGGCCCCAACTCAAAACGTCAACTTTCCTACTCCTCTGATCTGCTGTGTTCTTCTAGCTCCACACTGTGTTACCCCTGTATGAGATATTTGGTTCAGTTCAGTTCAGATGTGCTTCTGGTCACTGTCAATTGGGGTGCATGGAGATGAGTTCCACCATTATCAATCAATACTTGACATGGAAAAAAAAATACTTGAATCAGTATTATAAAGGAAGTCACTTTGCTTATCGTCAACTACTATTATCCTGTCTTACTAGAAAGATAAATGTATAGAAGAAACCCCTCCAAGACTGGTGTCATTTCCTCTCTCACCCCTCATGCCATTTAGCCCCCTCTACCTTTAAGAATATCCTTAAAGTTCATTTTGGATTAAACTTGTTCATTAATTTTCCTATTGTCAGCCCTGTGTCTTATTACTGCTTTACAAAGTGTCTCAGGCTGTTTTTCCACATGAAGGACATTATATAAACAAGTGTGATTCTAGATGTGGAAGGTTTATTTAGAAATTACCACTATTGTACAGAAATTAACTTGTAGTGTTGCATTAAGACCAGTGGTTCATAGAAGAAATGTATAATCAGATCCCTTCCTGTTGATTGGAGCTTAATACTAATCCTTTTGTGTAATTTATTATAACTCAATTACTGTCTTCCCAGGCATTTGTACCACGTGTATTTGTGATGTATTTGATGGGTGCAATTGCTATTTTTCTCTACGTTACGAAAATTCCAGAAAGATATTTTCCAGGTGAGTGTGCAGAGACTAAAGTTGGAGTTTCAGAAAATGACAGTATGAAAGTAAGTTACGTAACTAACCTCATAACAAATCATTTATCCTAATGACATCCTGTAGCAATTTTTAAAAATTCTTTAAACAAAAGTTTAAGTCTAATATCTGAAATATGGCAGAAGGGGACAACGCTGTATCAAAACTAAATTACTGAATGAGAGAACCAGATAGCAGTGGGGAGTAATTGGTACACATTATTTAAGGATATATTAGCATTCATTTTTAGTTTTGAATACAGGGAATAGTTCTAGAAACTAGAGTTAAGCTTCAAAACAGTTTGCACAGTGATGTTAATTTCTCAAAGATTAAAGTTTAAAGTCCTTTCTTGACAAGATTATTATTAAGAAAAAGGTTTTTAAGCTTTCATTTTTCTAATTAAACATTATAACCAAGCATGTTAGAACAAAGTGACCAAACATGGTACATAGTAATAGTCTTTGGAAGGGAAACGAGCAGGAGTTGCTAACGTTTCTGTACCTTTTACAGGACAGCTCAACTACCTCGGTTCTAGTCATCAGTGCTGGCACGTCCTTGTTGTATTGATGTTTTATTGGTGGCACCAGACTGGAGTATACATCATGCAGTACAGACACAACCAACCCTGTTCTGAACTAATGAGTACATAACTGCAACAGTGTCTTGTGATTAGGTGAACAATTTCTGTAAAAGTGCCTGTTAAGAATCTGTTGTGGTACACAACCAGGAAATGGGAAGGGATGTGTTATAATTCTGTCGACCTGAATGTACTGATACCTCTTTATTTAAGTAACAGATTATTGGAAACTGGAAATAAAGAGGTCTCAACATCCTGCAGATATTTTCCAATAGCTTGAGATGTCTGAGGTATTTCTATGAATGAGCTTACAAATTAAGGTGTAATAGTCATTCTTCAAATAATTTTCCTGTACTATTATCACAGAAATGGAAAATCTGCTCAGAGATTCAGTTGGTAAATGTCTGATACTGGTCTAATTCAAGAACCTGCAAAGTGCAGGTGCTAAACTAGGCTAAAATTTGTGTATGTGTATGCCCATTTGCCCAGTGACTATGTTTTAATGTTAGTGGGTGAATGGGCGTTTTAACCTTGGAATTGTGCTCAACTGCACTGAGTATCCCTGGTTTGAGACTGCCTCCCAAGGTACCTCACCCCTGTTTACACTACTGAATATTCGCTCAAATAAGTGATCTCATTAAGACTACTTTTTATGGATAAACATGTAGAATATTGTATGAAATCTTCTCTCAGATCTGTTTAAACTGGAACTTAAGTCTTGGTCCTTAAGAGCTGGGAGACAAAAGAGAAAGCTAGGGTTTCTGGGAAAAGTGAAACATTAAAAAGAAGCCTTTATATTCTGGAATGCGAATATGTATCCTGAAACAAAATCAGGGAAAGAATTGACAACTACTTAATCTCCATCTCCAAGAACAAGAATCCTGTATGTGAGAATAATGTGAACAGGATTGGAACCTGTCATTTAATCTTCGTAGGAACAGTTTGCATTTAGAAGTAAGTATGATGGAATGAAATTTCATTTATTAGAAGATAAAATTATTTAGTCATCTGCAAGATTTGATCAAAGTTATCAGGAAGCATTCTGATCATAACCAAGGTTTCATACCTTATTTTACCTTCTGCCACATAACATCTAATCAGTCAGTTGGCTAGACAGGTAGTTTGCAATGCAGAGTAATGCAAACAGTGCGAGTTTAATTCCCACCCCGGCTGAGGTTACCATGAAAGACTCTTCTCGTGCCTGGGGCGTGGTGACCCTTGGGTTGAACCACTAGTTTTCTGAGAGCATCCCTGTGGTCTGATGGGGCTATGGCAACTTCATCTTTAACACTTCAAATATTTTTCCTTCAGTTATACTGAGTATGTTCTAATAGCATGGCTGGCTGGTTCACTGAAGAAGTACAAATCAGAGTTGATTATTTGCCCGATTTCATCCTTTTGGATGACTGTCAGGTATGTAGAAGAATGGATACTTAGTCTGACAAATGTCGAGGAAAACAGTCTGTTACTTCTACTGTTCCTCCACATGTAGCTAGATTGTCTTGGCACCTTGTACTTTTTTATTGAAATGGCCAGCCAGTGCCTTAGAACAGACCAACTATGAATGATGGGTAAGAAGATTCTAGTAAACCTCAAAAGAAAAAACAAACTTAAGACTCTTCACACTTATACTATGTCTTTTAAAAAATGTAGCAATTACTGCTGAGAACACAGTTGATGATTAAAGGGTATATTATACAACCTATACATCGATCCCAGAACTTCACACAGTGGGTTATTCAGTCCTAGGTTTACGCTGGGATGTTAAACAAGAAGGGCTAAGTGCAATTTAAAAGTTATGTGCATAGAAAATTTATTTAGCAGTAGGTAGAACTAGTATGGTTACAAAATGGTGGTATGTATTGTGATTGTGCATTGTAAAAATATAATTTTTACAATTACTTGCTCTTAAATGTCTGAATCACATGACAAGCTCTTCATCTGGAAAATTCGTGCAAATCCTAGAACTGGATGTCTCCTTTGAGGAACGCAGTGCGAGAAGAGTTGTTTGTTTTGTCTGACAAATTATTTGGAGCTTAATTTCTTTTTTTTCCTCTGTAGAAAAGTATTATCAATAAAATATTTTCCAACAGTAAATTTTTAAAAATAATTCATTTAATACCTGTTACATTTAGTTATATAGGCTGTGGAATGAAGCAAAACAGCTGGAGTAGTTTAACAAATCTAAAAGAAGCTTGTGCAGAATATCAAATGGTAAGAATAGATGACAGGAGGAAAATCCAAAATAATATCAGATCATTTTAAGAATATGGGCTGTGCAAGAAATGAGGTACAGCCAACATTTTATGAATTGGACCTATGTAACCAGAGTGTACTGGTTGATCAAGAAGTCTACCTAAATCGGTGTAAAAACACACATTTAAGTAATAGAAACTTATTGCAGGGGATAAACGCGTCACAATTATACTTCATTTATAGTGTAAATCATAAATAATCATTCAACTTTGCCTTAAAAAACAAGAACTTGCTTACCTTCAACTGACTACAGGGACATTGCAAAGATCGCTATAATACAGCAAACTTCCAGTATTTGAGGTATATAATTTTTGTGGGTTTATTGAGGGCACTAGTCAAAACAGTAATCAATCTACAAAAGCTATACAATGAAATTCCTTTCCTTCCCATCCCACCACCACCAATAGTCAAGGTGAAAAGATTAAAAGATTTTCTAATTAACCTGTTCAGTGATGTTATTACACAATTCTGATAACAGGTGGGAATTGAACCTAGGTCTCCTGATTCAAAGGTAGGGATACTACCACTGCACCAGAACAGCCCCATGTGAAGATCAACTAGAAATCTAAAATATGAAACTAACATCCTCCAATTTTCCCTTCCATTGACTTCAATGGGCAATAGGAAACAGTTTTTTTTGGGGGGGTGGTGGTGGTGGGAAGAGGAGGAAAGAAAACAATAACTATGGTTGTAAAAGAAAAGCAATTGGGATATAATATTGGAAAGCTGTGATGAGAATAGACAAGAGGAAGATAGCATAAACATTAAATGTTACTTCAGTACTTACTAAAGACATAGAACACGGACAAATGAAAAAGGGTATGTACTGAACAGACCTAGTCTGGGAGGCATTGCCCATCTGTATTTTAAAATAAGAGGTAAGAGATAGCAAAGGTATTACTCACTCACTCACTGAAAGCAAAGTGCCGGAGATCGCAGCAGGTCAGGCAGCATCCATGCAGAGAAAGCAAGCTAGCGTTTCAACTCGAAACGTTAGCTTGCTTTCTCTGCATGGATGCTGCTTGACCCGCTGCGATCTCCAGCATTTTTTGTTTTCGGCACAGATTCCAGCATCCACAGTAATTTGCTCCTGTATTATTTATTTAATTGGTTAGAAAAGTATGTAGCGTCAGAGATTGGCAGATGAGTACTTCTGTAATTCCTTTAAGAATGGGGACAGAACGTGTCCCAGAAATCATAGCTCAATCAGTGGTAGGACAAATAGAACTAGACTATAGAGGTTGGAAAATAAAACCAGAAAGTTTGAGAACCTCAGCAGGAGAAGGAACATCCACAGAGAGAGAAACAAAGTTATGTTTTGATTTCTAAAATATTATAAATATAATAATCACTAGTAACTATAGATTTCAAAATGAAAGATTTGCTTGACCAATGCTGCTGAATTTGAGAGATGGTAAAGCATAACAGTGGTAAGATTGATGGCATTTATCTAGAATTTCCAAATGCCTTTGATGAAATGCTCAAAATACCAAAATGAAACTGTCAGAGGATGTGGAGAAAAACCAGGAAAGTACTGGAGAAACTACAGGTCTGACAGCAATGACAGGGAAGGAGTATGACTTTTTTTGGGTTGAACTCATTTGGAATCAAAATGTTAACTTTCTCTCCCCAGATGTTCTTGCAGCCTCTGAGATGCTCCAACACTTTCTGGTTTTATCTACAATCCCCAGCATTTGCAGTACTTTTTTTTCCCCTTCCTAATCAGAGGATGTGGATTTGAAGCAAGTGGCAGAATGGATTGCCAGCTGGCCTCAAGGTACAGAGTAAAGTATTCATGTTCACAATTTACATTAAATTTAGTAGTAGTGTTTGGATTCTGAAATCTAAGTTGACAGACGACGCCAAATTGGGTGGATAGTCAATACTGAGGAGGACTGCAACAATTACAGGAACACTTAAAATTGACAACTGCTCAAATATTTGGAAAACTAAGTTAAACACAAATGAGGTAGTGGAAGATTTTGATACAGAATAGATACGGAATTGTACTGCTTGTGTAGCAGACAATAAGTAAGGCTACCAACATAAGATAGTCCCCAAGAAATCCAATAGTGAGTTCAGATGAAACCTATTTAATCCAACAGTGGTAATTGTGTAACATGCCACCTTAAGGAGTAGATGAAGTAAATAATAGCAACGTATTTAAAGGGAGGCTTGACAAACATGAGGGAGAAGGAAATAGGGAGTTTCAAAGAATAGATCCCTACAGTGTAGGAACAGGCCATTCAGCCCATCGAATCTACACTGACTCTCCAAACAGCATACCCCATGACCATGCATTTCCCATGGCTAGCCCACCTGCCCCTGGACAACATGGGAAATTTAGCATGACCAATTCACCTAACCTGCATATCTTTGGACAGTGGGAAGAAACCTACGCAGACATGGGGAGAATGTGCAAACTCCACACAGTTGCCTGAGGGTGGAATTGAACCCAGACCCTGGTGCTGTGAGGCAACAGTGCTAACCACTGAGCCACCATGCTGCTCCAATGGTAAGTCTAAATTAGAAAAGAAGGGAATGAAGCTTGAGTAAAGTATGAATGTCAGCATGGTTTGTTTGTGCTGTATATCCTTTATATGTAATCCTGTACATTGCAGGAAGCTGATTCACCACTCTCCATTTTGTGCCCCAAATTAAATTTCACTGTTAGCTGGGCTGAAAGAAGTGGGGTATTAAAAATGACTTCATGTCCCCATGAGGGTATAGTTATCGAAATGATTCTACATTTGACTGACAATTTAGTATACAATAAATGAGGATTCCATTCCAGTAACTTGTCTGGAATGAATACTCTGCCCGTATTTCAACTGCCAACGTTGGTGCCACCATTTACGTAGCTAATGTGGCTGTGCTTGGATCCTGCATATCTGTTTAAAAAGAAGTTCATTTTTTCAATATGTTATTCTTCATCGTGTGCTGCTTATTAAGCACTAAGAAATGGTTACATGTTGAAAACATGCCCATTATTTTTTCTATTTCTTGGGCAAAATATTGTAGATTTCTGTCAGTTGGCTTCTCCTGATGAAGGAGTATTCTTCCACACTGGGGAAAACATCAATCCTTTTACTTTATCCCTAATAGAGACACAATTAACAACACACAGGTGCAAAAAAGGATTGAGATGTTTTTCACAATATGAAATATACGGTGTCTGATGAGTGAACAATCAATTTTGCAGCCTGTAAGTTGATTTTCACCATTTCATTATAATTGTTACTCAACTTTCACAATTTTCAAATTTAAAAACATGAACTGAGTTAAATTAACTGGAGTTTGAGATAGCTTGAACTAATCAAAGCTTCTCTGCTTTCCTTAATACAAATGAAATATTCAATCCATTATAACCTTAACTTCAAGTTGAATTTATTGCTTCATTGGAAAGCAGTTATCAATGAATATAAACAAAGGGAGTATAGGAAACCAATCCCTCTAATCATATTGTTAAAATGAAAACTGAAGTTTGCAAAGAAAATAGTAAATATCAGCGCTCCCTATATGTAAAACAGTAGAAAGAAAACCATGAAGCAGACTGCGATCAATACAAAATGATAGGTTTAACAAATTATAATTAAACTAATAATAAGAAAAAGGAGACTTGCTCACTTTCAAGTCCAAGTCTGAAAAGTGCACTTTTTAAAACTTTATCGCAGCAATAAAAATAGACTATATGCTGGGTGTTTGATTCCCGTTCACACAGAAGCAGCCTAGCTGAACACAAGCTTTAAAACACAGTAATATCACAAAAATACAGGGGCATTTCAAATCCAGCTTTAAGCATGTAAGTCTTGACATTTTAAAACTGTGGCTGCATATTATGACGACTTGAAGAGCAGCAAAACACATTCTGACATTATGCTAGTCTGAAGATTACAAGCACATTCCACATTGGAATTCATTCGGAAACCCTTCACCTTAAATAGCAAGATACATAATTTACATAATCAAGTTCCACAATCCCTTTCTAATACCAATCTCAAATGTTAACCAGTAGTTGCAGTTCTGCAAGCTCATACTCTTTCATAACAATCGATCATTTTCACTAACATTTAGGGTTAATTAAAAAAAATCAGGATTTGTTGCAGAAAGTTATAAATTCTGTAAAATGCAGAATTAAGAAATGAAAAAATCATACAGTCCAATTCCAGACAATGGGAATAAAAATTTAAGGAGAGTGTCAGCTGGGATATCCCCTTCTACAATGGCTCAGAGGTATTGCATAGCATTGGGGAAAAAAGCCCAGTTTGTAAGGCCTTGTGGTGGAAAATGAGTTTTGTACAAAGTAGATATGGAATCTGTTCTACTGGAAGACTACTTATTCTACTGTTTGGAAGGAAATGGTGCTGCACCAAATGGATCAAAGTCACTGTGTTGCTGTGTAACAGTACATAATACTAGTTCAGTAAAGGGCACTGCCCCAAAATCATCTGTTGTTAGCCCTTCTCCAGCGAGAAATGCCCCATGTACAGAACCTGGTCTCGATCTGCTCGCGACTGGATGGTGTTCTCCTCGACAATCACTTAGCCCTTGATACTGAGTGTTTCTTTGAAGCTCTTGTGGATGGAATGGTTTGGCACCGAAGGGATCAAGCAAGCTTTCATCAGCAGGCAATGACTGACATTTCTCCTTTCCATCAGTAAGTGCTACACCAATATTCTCCTTGGAGTCAGATATGTTAAGGAGTTCATTACTACTTTGTGAATCACGCCTCCCTACTTTTTTATGCCTGCGCACTCGCTCTGGAGTTCTATAGGTAGGTTTGGAAGGTTTTCTCGTCGTCGTTGGTGTGCCATGATGTCGCTTGCCAGTTCCACCAGATGACTCTTGTTTGGTGCGCCGTTGCCGAGATGAAAGTTTCTGTAAACTGCGTTGCTTCATCTTGTGCAGTTGACTGGCTGTGATCTCTTCAAAAGGAACATGTCCAAATACATCCTCATTGCTTTCCTTTCTGTACTGTACAGTCTGAATTGGCTGGAATGGAGCGGAACCAAACATGTCTACATCATTAGGTGAGACAGGTGGTGTCTGTGTGAGAGTACCCTGACTATATTGAACCGTTTGAGGTAATTTCTTAGTAAAAGGTGCATTGCTGAATACATCAAACTCTTCCTGCTCTTTATGGGTGGCTGATTTGAAACACGTATTTTGAAAACTCTCTTTATTTTCTAATCTTTCGCTGGGTTGTGCGTGCTGATGCAAACCAACAAATGGCACAGCACCGAATATATCAACTTCACCCTGTAATGTTTTGCTCCCTTTAACTTGAGGTGAATCTGGAGGGGTGATGAGTGCTGTTGCTGATTCAGCACTTGCAATACTTTCAGCGTCAGCATTGTATTCTAAACCTGGTTCTGCTATACTATACATCTCTTTCTGTTCATAGTCTGAATCAGAGCTGTGTTTTTCTTCCTCATCCACTTCTTCGTCTTCATCGGAGTCCATTAGCAGAGGTCTCTGCCCAAAGGTTTCTGCTTCTACGTCATTAAATTCACCTTGTTCACTATGAAACTCCTCCTCCTCTTGTTCCTCCTCTTCACTGCTCTGAGGGGTAGGTGGGTCAGACTCAAAATCACTGTCTGAGTCTTGACCTTTTTTATTATGGTCTTGCTGCATGACTAAATTTGAGTCATTTCTTCTCCCTTCTTTGCTTTGACAAGTGAGTGACAGGACACCTTGTCCTTGTTTGTCAATTTTAAATCCACACTCTGAAACAGTACTTGAAATTGTTGCATTTTCTTCACTTTTTCCATTTGAACCTAAAGGATAAAGTTAAAAACAAACATTCACCATTATGAAAAGATTAATAAGACAAAAATTTAGGAATAAATTGTAAGCATCAAGAGCACTGGTTAATTTCCACGCAGACCCCAATTCACATCCCGCTCAGAGGAAACAAAAATTTTCTTCCAAATAAAAGTTTTCTGGAACTTGTCCAAAATGAGCTTGGCAGTTTAATTCAATTTCTGGTTGACAAAATAGGCCCTAATTTAGGAACCTTGTGCAGAAAGACCTCAAGAACAGCTGATGCTCTACTAAGAATGTAACAGAAGAATATAATTGCAGTAGCATAGAAGGTCTTTCCTTTCCTGCTAGTTATGCTGAACTCTGTAAATGCTTGACACCTTGCTGCTCCACATGTAAACAGTTTAATTCCTCTGTATTAAATACTCACAATCTAATTAGCACACACAGAAGAAAAGCACTTCACAAGCATCTGAAAGTATCTAAGAAGATTACATTTATGGTACAAAAACTAGAGAAAATGTCAAAATTCATCTTATGATAAATATTTTTCAAGCTAGTACACAAAACACAAACTAGTTTGGTTAGTAGATTTTGCTGTTTTTGGTGGAGGGATTACAGTAGGAAAACCAAATAAAATAGAGTCCAATTTAACAGGACACCTGCATCAATTTTTAAAACTCACAATGTAAAAAATGTCAGAACAAGCAAGAACTGCAAATGCTGGAGTCAGAGTCAATACATGTGGAGCTAGAGGAAGACAGCAGGTCAGGCAGCTTTAGAGGAGCAGGGAAGTCAACGTTTTGGGTATACACATTTCAGAGCCCTCATGAAGGGTATAAACGCAAAATTTCAACTTTCCCGCTCCTCTTGTGCTGTCTGACCCACTGTGTTCCTCCAGTTCCACACTGTAGTTGAAAAAAAATGTCCTTCGAGGAAGTACTCTCAATTAAACATTGTACTGGACAAGCAAAACTACACCTGTAACAAAAGCCAAGTATGTGGATGGTGGAAATCTGAAACAAAATCAGTTCTATTTTTAATTCACTCATTGGTGAGGGCATTTCTGGCCAACAATTATTGTCCATCCCAGAGTGAAGTTAAAAGTCAAACACATTGCTGTGGGTCTGGAGTCACATGTAGGCCAGACAAGATAAGGATTGCAGTTTCCTTCCATGAAGGACATTAGTGAACCATTTGGGTTTGTCCTGACAATCGACAATGGTTTCATGGTCATCACTAGACCTTTAATTCAAATTCCACCACCTGCTGTGGCGAGATTCAAACCCAGGTCCCCAGAACATTTTTTGGGTCTCTGGAATAACAGTCCAGTAATAATACCATTAGGTCATCACCTCCACCAATATGAAATGGGTAGAGGGAGAGAAACAGTCAACTTTCAGCTTACATGATCTTGCATCAGAACTGAAAGGTCATCGACCTAAAAGCTGATTTCTTTTCTTCAAATATTCTGTCTAGTCAGTTGTATATGTCCAACATTTTTGTACAAATGTAAGGAGATCATTCAGCTAGTTTTTCAAATGGAATACAAAGTTCATTGATAAAGACCACAAGACTGTAAGATATAGGAGCACATTAGCCTATTGAGTTTACTCTGCCATTTGATCATGGCCGGCGTTTCTCAACTCCATTTTCCTGCCTTCTCCCGTACTGCCAATCCTCTTACTAATCAAGAACCTATCTATATCAAAAAAATTGGGTAGAATTGTTTTAGCTTCTTTGTAATAAACTTCTGACATCCTTTACAAAAATATACAAATTCTGCTTTCCAAGTTCATCAATACAATAAAAAATCTAAGACCCATTTGTAAAAACCACACAATCTTAATATTTACTGTTCTGAATGAGGCTTTTTATGTAGCAATGAGCTGCCATATGTCAATATCCACAATTCTTCTGTACATTTAGAAATACTAAATAAAGTAATTTGGTCCTCTCACAAGTACAATATATTAGAACATGTCTATTGTCTGGCACATCCTGCACTTCAGACTGGTCCATATGAACCTTGTGACCATTAAATTTCCAATATAATTGCAAGTGTCAAGAATCAAACGGGCTTCTGCTAACCATTTGTTCCAGGTGACTGCCACAATGCTCCAAACCTGTTCCAAATTAACATTTAGCCCCCTCCAGTCTTGCTAGCCATCAAGACAGAAGTTAATGACAGCGAATTTCAAATATGCAGAGACTCTTATAGAATGAGAATAGAAAGAACAAACCTGTAATTATATAATACCTTTCATGACCATTGACTGTCGCAAAGTGCTTTGCCAGCCAATTAAAGTACTTTGGAAGTGTAGCCACTGTTTTAAAATAGGAAAGGGGTCGGCCAATTTGTTCATAAATTGTGCATAAGCAAGTTCTACCAACAACAATGCAATAATGCATAGATTCTTTTCAAGTGTTATTGGTGAATGGTTAACTTTTGGCTAGCAAAGACTCTAGAATGAAACCCGAGTCCACAACTTTACAAATCATGAGGCAACGATGCTACTGACAAATATAAGGCAGATGTTTGAGAATATTAGTTTTATGTAAATTTTGAGTTAGATGGCAGGAAATTTTACAGGACAAGGTATGTCAACAGGCTCCTGTACACATACCACATTTAGACTGCACAGACACTATTCAATGGATAATGATGCCCAAGCTATGGTGAGGCTGATGGCAACATTGTCTTTTTATGTAAAGTTGCAATGCCCACTTACTACCTTAGACTCAAAGAAGTGTATCCTAATCTTAAATAAGACTGTGGCTTCAAGCTTAATTCAAGGGCTGGATTTTATGTAAGCTTTTGTAGTGGGAACCATATAATCGCAACTGAGGGCCTGCATCAGTTTCCTGATTAAACCTCCTCCAATTAAATTAGAACAGAAGGGGTTGACAGGGGATTCCTGGTCATCAGCGCCAGGATGTCTATTTGCTTCATTAATGAGCCAAGTGACATCCGTTATCTCTGAGCCCACCGCAGCTTAGGGGTGGCTCAGAAATTAAATGGAGATTGTAGAGTCTTGTGACAGTAAATACTGTCCCTACCTCTGGGCCAGAAGGTACAGGATTAGTCTCACCTGCCCAGAGATTTGTCACAAATTTTTTTTAAAATCAACCTGTTTGGACATGTTAATGATCTTGTTTTACAGTAACAAAAGAACATACACTCTAAATGCTACATTCTATTTCCAACAAGTTCCTTATCATCAGAAACAGTTAAAAAAGTGTACCCCATCTGCTACACAATCGCACAGTAACCATGGTGATAACCATGCCCAGCAAGCTGTCAATAAAACTATTTCAAAAATATAGGAACTAAAACATTACCTTACAAACATGCAAATTATGATCTTAAACTAAACATGGTCTGAAAAACTATTAATCCATTTGATAGCAGTTTGAAAATGTAAATCTGTGTAAGTCACTATAAAATATGTATTTTAATATCTCTTGCAAATGCACAAAGATTACTACAAATTTCAATCATGTACACATTTCTAAATACAATTCCTAATCTCTAATAGTGGAACACAAGAGAATCTTTAATCAAATCTTTAAAAATAAAAGAACCTTTTTTTTTTGATGTTCTTTTTCCAGACAACAGATTAAAATTGATGAATGTCTTGTAACTTGTAATTACATGCCTTCTGCTGATTTATCAGCAGTAACATTTGGGCAAGTAACTTGGAGCTATATTTAAATTGGAAACATACTGTCAGTCCAAAGCTATTTGCCACATGTTTCTTATGACGGTTACCATTGTAGGTGAATTCCCCTCAGTCTGTTTCAATGTGCTTCTATTCTACCGAATTTAGAGATACACCAGCTGCTTAAGTATTTATTTCCTTTGAAATTACAAGGAACTGAAAGCATTCCCCTTCACTCATGTCCCCCGAGAACAAGATTAGGAAGCAATTAACAGTAAGACAAAAACATTAAAACCTGTTTGAAGATCATTTTATGCAGAAATCTTGTCAATATTCAACTAAATGTTGATTGAAAGCAATGAACCGAAATAGATTGATGAAAATATGAAATATGATCTCACATCTGATGATGCTCTCTCTCAACATGAGAAGTAGAAACAATATTAGCACAAGGTGAAGTAAACAAGCACATCCTTCTTGTGTCTAAGAACGATACTGTTCCATTTTTCAGAACTCAGTTCTGGTCAGTGTTCAAATTTTCACCACTATCAATAATCTATAGTCAGGTTGAGGAGATTTGGGATGTGGGGTAAATATGAAAGGTGCAGGTTTATTCCAACCCACACCACACTTCCTATTTAGATGTCTTGAAATAATTGATATTTTATCCATGAGCATTAAAAGATCTTTTCCCAACAATATCCAAGATATGTACTCACCCAGAAGTAAGCTGCAGTTTTAGGAACCATATCAGAATACTTGCAAGCACTTTTGCCACTTCTGGAAGCTTTCAAGAGTAATTCCAACCTCCAAATTAACATTTCTAAACATAGTTCTAGGAAATTAGCATGAATACTGAAATTCTCAACCATGATCTTTTGTAAGGAAATTCAATTTTTGTCCTGTGTTTCATATGGGGTGGCAAGGACCAAGACTGCAATTGCTCCAGAGATCTGTACTGTACTAATAGTGACTTATTCAGATTTATTTGCAAATTCTAAAATCATCTGCATTTGAAAACTGCTATATCATTCCACACCAATAGTGATGCAGAGCCACACAGAAGAAGCGAACTTGAACTGGAAGAAGGAAGAGTGCTTCGATCCTCGTAACCTGTATGCCTCTGTCTGAGTCTTTTTGATCTGTAGATACTTTGCTTGCTATGATCTGCCTGTACCATTTGTAAACAAAGCTTTTCACTGTTTTTCGGTACGTGACAATAAATCAATCAAAAAGTTCTATTTGTACAAGTGTCACACTACCATTCAAGGGCAATTATATAAACTAGGAAGTGTGTGAAGATACAATTGAGGAAATAGTATAATTAACTAACAAATACTGCATGGTTCTTGAGAATGATGGGGAAGGATATGTGTCAAGAGTTAATCTGCCCATGAGGGGCTTTGGCAAACTGATACTGATGTAAAAATAACATTTGCTAAGAACATGTCAACAATGACTTTTGTATCCAAATTTTCGTTGAATGTTCAGTTAAGATGGTCTTAAAATATAGGAAACTTTTTAAAATATTAAAAGATGTACTTTTCAAAATCAAAATCGTTCTGAAGCACTGAAATCTGTCCATTGTGAGTAGAGTAGATGCCAATAAACAGAGGAAAATTAGTGTGAGATTCAGAATATCCCCTTATGTACACTATAGAGTATCCAAGCAAAATAGTAATTCAAAAGTATGAATTTAGGAGGGATGTACCAGATAATGTTATGGTGCCCAGTGGATAAAACCAAGTCCTAACTAAGTACACACACAGTGGATTAAAGTGAATATTAAGGATTGCAATCATAGAATGAAAATTCTGTTAAATCATTCCATCACTTTCATAGTCAAGAAAACAACACTAATTTACCATGTAATGTTAGAACCCTCAATGATTTTTTTTATTATTTTTATTTTATTCTTATCAATTTTAGTTTGGAGCTGTAAACTGTGAGCTGAAGATGACCTTTGGACTGCAGGTAGCAGCTTGTTAAAAAAGGAACAAATAAGCTGTTGTTTGTTTGAGAGGCCGAGTCGGAAAGTTAATTGCAGGTTGGTTCTTGATCAAATGATTCTACAGAATCTCCGACAGCAGGGAAAGCAGTGCGTTTAACCAGATGGCAAATGTTTGGCCATTAACGAGGTCAGTACCTGAGAATTAGTGCCAGCATATATGGGAGGGAACATGATGGTCAAACAAAGAGGGAAGCTGAAAGTTTTGTATCGAGGAGTTTCCAGGAGGGGTTTAGCTGTTGATGCTACAGCTTGACAATGCGAAATTCCTTGCCTAACCTCCCATTGTCCACTACTGGAAATTCAAAGAATAGAAACTTAATTATAAGAATGATTGAAACTTCCTCAGAGTGAACTGAAAGGTATCACTGATCAATGTCGTCAGAAAGTCAACCAAGAAACAATTGTACATGCCTGTGGAACAATACATCTTGAAAACTGCTTAAGTAACCTGGCTAGCTTGGTTTTTTCTTTTTAAAAAATGTTATCCCCTTTTTGTGTCTGTCTTTTGTGTGACTGGGGCTGAGACCAAAGGTTATTGGATTTAAATCACAGACATTGATTAGATTACTTCGTTGTTTAATTTTGTTCTGCTAAAGTTACTGTTTTGTTAATAAATTATTAAGTCTTTTGTTTGAGCTACAAACCAGGAGTCTAGAATCGATTAGCCACAAATCATGAGGTTGGTTAGTCAAAATGTCTGATTAGGAACCATTAGGGTCAATTTTGATGGTCTTTGATCGTTTTGATTCTAATGTGTTGCAAATACAGATTTGGGGAGACTGCTTTGATTTGGCTGTCTCCATATCTCAAGTGATTAACAATCATTGTTCCACGTAGAATTTTTACTGAAGTTCAAAGTAGCCATGATCATAAACTTTATATAATCTTTACAAGGATCAGACTAACCTGTTTCAGAAACAAATGGAATACAGCCAAACAAGTCTTCCTTAACTGGGGTCTGTAGAATAGGACGTGGCTCAATTTCTGTCTCTATAGAAGTTCTCCTCTGCTCTGGTTTACCTCAAAAAGGAAGAAAAAAATGGCATTTTCTGTCTGAAAACCACACCTCAGTTCATACACAGAATAGCTATTTAAATAAACAACACACTGCATTAGGAAAATCAATATATTTCCTAATATTGCACAAGTTTGAACCAAAGGCATCATTATTTTTAAAATTTTATATTACATTACACATTGCACTAATTAGCTGGTACTGACCCTATTACTTGAGTTAGCATTTATTTAAAAGCTAAACAGTTCTACACTTGTACTATCACATCAAGAGCTGCTTAATGAATTTAACACTTGGGTCAATTTAAAGTTTTCTTCCAGGTTTTAGGACCAGAAATAGCAAATCTTCAATAGACTGCCAGCATAGAAGACAAATACAGGTGTTGCTATCTAAAATTATTTTGCAACATCCTTTGTCCTTTTCAAATCTATCGGACTGTAATACAATAAAGCCATTTAGAAACGCTTTGAATCATCCCGTTTAATCATAAAACAATACCATATATATTAATAGGGCTCGTGGATAACTCCTATTTCCATGAGGACAAGGTTCAAGAACAAGAGGTGGAAAACTATTTTCCTGCACCTCTGTTCACATTGCTCCAGACTTTCCTATGAAGACAGGAATGGACCAAGCAACGATTGCAGTTGGACTGAAACACGAGGGGACAACCTGGAATAGCCTCCTCGATTTCCTTGGTGATTGTTGGTTGAGCACCTCAATATAGTCTTCCAGTGAAGCTGCAGCTATAAACAGACCCTGAATCCCAGGCATCCAGCTGCAGAGCCAGGGGTACATCAAAATTTTAATGATTACATCACCTCCTTACTGGAGATTTCTAGTTGACAATCACTGCTATTCTCAATCACCAGTCAGGAAAATACAAGCCTGTAGTGCAGCTTAGTCAATGGCACCCAGGGTGAATCAACTGTACACAGCAGGCAGGTGAGAGTGCATAGGAGGAAGACTATAGAAAAAGTTATAGTAACAGGGATCTAATAGGGGAATAAATATATATTTTTGCATTTGCAGGATGGTATGTCTGGCACAAGGGTTCAGGATGCAACTACATGGTCAAAACCTTTGTTTTGTGTGGGTGGGAGTTGGGTGTGAGTGTGTGGGTTTATGAATGGGTGTTTGTGTGTACAAACGAGAACAACCAGTGGTCTTGCTCCATACAGATACTAAAGATATATACAGAAAAATGGGATGAGCTTTTAGGAAGCTAGGAAAGAGAACAAGCAGGACTTCAAAAGGTAGTATTCTCCAGATTGCTCTTGGTTCCAGGTACTATTCAGTTTAAAAAAAATAGGGCAGATGAGTACGTAACTAGAAATACAATTCTGAGGAAAGGGTCTTATATCACTGAGTCAAAGAGTCATGTATCAGGCTAAGCCAATGAGCTCACAGAAGTATTCTAGTGCTCTAGTTTAAACTCATTTGGCAAAAAGAGATAGTGTGCTTTTTTTTTAAAGAAAGCCATAACGGCATAACACATAGGAGCAGAAATTAGGTTATTCGGCCTATCAAGTCTGCTCTGCCATTCAATCAAGGCTGATAAGTTTCTCAACTCCATTCTTCCGCCTTCTCCCCATAACCCTTGATCCTCTTGACAATCAACAGCCTATATATCTGTCTTAAATATACTCAATGACCTGGCCTCCACAGCCTTCTGTGGAAATGAATTCCACAGATTCACCACTCTCTTGCTGAAAAAGTTTCTCCTTATCTCCATTCTAAAGTGTCTTCTCTTTACACTAAGGCTGTGCCCTCGGGTCCTAGTCTCTTTGCCCATTGTGAATGGGCCAGTCAGTATCAAGCATCTATTTATTTTAGGAGAAAGTAGGAACTGCCGATGCTGGAGTCTGAGATAACAAGGTGTAGAGCTGGATGAACACAGCAGGCCAGGCAGCATCAGAGGAGCAGGAAAGCTGACGTTTCGGGTCTGGACCCTTCTTCAGAAAGAAGGGTCCAGACCCAAAACGTCAGCTCTCCTGCTCCTCTGATGC